GCCTTTAACAGGAGTCCAGACAGGTGGAGAGGTACCGCCTGCCCTGTGCGTACACCCAGCTAGTCTGGAGCCATGCAATCCCAGCAGCAGCTTCTAGCCACAGTTAAATTCCGCCCACTGAAATGACCATGCAACAACCTCTAATGAAGAGAAAAAGGGACAGGCGCTGCGGTGTTACAGACAGCGCAGCCCTGGGATTCGGAGGGACCCTGCAAAGACGCACACAGCCCACGGGGCTCCGTCTGAGCACACAAAAGACACACAAAGCACTCTGATTCACGCTGCATGCGTACAGACGCACACAAGCAAGTGAGTGAAAAGCCTTCTCTACATTGTTTCCAAACAATCTCAATACAAGTCACACGTCAGCCGGGGCGCTGGACACTTGGTACTTACCAGAGGGTTGGCTGTGTCTGTCTGCTGCCGGAATCAGGACGGGTGTATCTGACTCGGAGGGAAGGTGCATGAAGTCGTGCAGGGAGGCTCTCCTGCCAACGGGGCCTTGACGGATGGGAAGAAGGGCCCCAGCCACTCTCTGGGCCCCAGAGGCAGCAACACTTGTTCAGGGGATGGAGCGCAAAAAGGCTGGCATTCCTACAGCAGCAAGGACAATGGGGAGGGATGAGGAGGCGCTGCCATAATCAAATGCAGGCCAGCTGGCCCTCCCCCAGGAAGGGCAGGCACCTCCTTCACTTGCCAAAGGCTTTGTTTTTTAAGCCACAAAGAACAAAGTGGCTGAGGAGGAGAGGGAGAGGAGGAGGAGAGCGAAGGACAACCGGCTGTGGAGACAGATCCACATGTAAGTGCAGGTAACCCACTCAGAGAGATGTCAAAGATGGAGAGGGGTTGGGCACCACTCTGCCCACTCCAAGCAGAGCTAGGAAGTGGCAGCTCCTTGAGTGCAGCAGAATGAAGCTGGGGACAGCTGGAGATCACCACTGAGGAACCAGAATCAGCAGAGTCTGATGGCCAGGGGTCCTCTGAGGGAAGGGATCCGAGGGTGGCAGATAGAATGCCACTGAAGGAATGGCTCATGGAGCAGAGCCCAGAGAAATCCCAACAAGGGAAACACTACCATTTCTCAGCCAGCCTTGCCCCACCAATCCTCAGCAGTGGGACTGTGAACAGCTTCTCTCCAAAAGCAAATGCAAGGCAAGGGCCCAAGCTGCACGAGGCTCTCAGGCCATGGCTGAGCAATGCTCACACCTTCCCTGAGCACCAAACGAGGCAGCATCTTGCACAACATCGTGACAAGCAGGAAAAAGCCCCCAGGGCCACCTCAGGCCCTCCTGTAATGATGCAGGCAGCCCCCCGGGGCCACCTCAGGTCCTCCTGTAATGATGGAGGCAGCTCGGCCGTGAGGCTCCGGGCACCACACTCCCACAGGGTATGCAGTTGCTGAGCCGGTGTGATGGGACTCTGCCCTTTCCTGCTGGGTCAGTGCTTTCTTCCAACAGAGTGACTTTTGCCAGCAAACATCATGCACCTTGGCTACTGACCTTCTGCAGGACTCGTGATCCCCAGGCTGGCAGAGACCATGCTGTGCGCTCCAGCTCATCAGACATGCCACTACAAGTTGGGTAGCTGCAGTCCTCACAGGGCACACGGCTCTCGGGCCATTTCAAGCCTGTGGACACAGGCAGCTGGTCACTTTGCTCATGGTAAAGTCAAGAGCGTGTAGAGACCAGGGGATGCAAGAGTGACCTGGGAATTAATTTCACTCAGAGAAAGCTCAAAAGAGGAAAAAATGTGAAGGCTACCAAGGTAAGCAAGGAGAGGGTGACTTGCTCTAGCTCCATTGGGTAACGATGGCGTGCCTATGGCAGCATTACTGTGAAGCCAGGACAGGCAGTGAGAGGAGGGTACTGGCAGCCACCCTTGCAGGCACCCCAGAACAAAGCTGACATCAGTGCTTTGGTACAACGTGCACCCTTGCTTGCTCAGCTTCCCAGTTCGACCCCAAAGCACTGTGTGGTGCCAGATCCCAGCACAGTCTTGGAACTGAGTACACAAGGGACAGCGGCCAGACCAGGCTTGAAGCCACAGGAGATGGCAGGTCCCCGAGTATGCCCACACTGGGTCTGTGGTACTGAAACACAATCCTCCGCCCGCAGTCAGAGACGGGGAAGGCAGCTTCCTTCACCGCTCCTCCCGCCTCAGCCCAGCCGTCATCCAGCCCTCGTCAGGCACCAAGAGCTCTTGCCCCAAAGGAAGCGGGGACAAATGGAAACATCCAGCTTGGCACCAGTCATGGCTTTGGGGAGGGAACCTTGCCAGCCCATGTGCAAGCTCAGCCCTCGTCAGGCACCAAGAGCTCCTGCCGCAAAGGAAGCGGGGACAAATGGAAACATCCAGCTTGGCACCAGTCATGGCTTTGGGGAGGGAACCTTGCCAGCCCATGTGCAAGCTGCACACGGCCTGGCCCAGCTCAGCCTGCCTCATCGCAGGGAGCTCCTGCAGGCCATCAGGAGCTGCCAAGTAGTGAAACACACAGCACAGCGTCTTGACGGACCGTGTGGGGTCGTGCTGTCCTGTCCCACGGTCTGTCTGGCAGCCACAGGCAGCATCCCTTGAAACACTCATCCACCACATGCAGAAGGGCCAGCAGAACGGAGCGTCCCATTCCTAGTAGGCAGTGAGGTGTGTGAGGGATGAATACCATGAGCCCCGCGGTGGGCGCTCCACTCCCTTGGCGTGTGCTGAGATGTTTGGAGAGATCTGAGCTTGCCAGCTCATTACCATAGCGTACATTGCTTACACACCCTCAGGCTCCTTCCCCAAATCCTGGGGTCTGGCACACTGCAGGCTCTTTACAAGAAGGAAAATCAAGGACTTTGCTTAGTTTAGACTCCTGCTCTTGATCTCCTCAGATATTAGGGAAGAGGGAAGAGGGTCAGGCAGGCACTGACAAGATCGCTGCAGGAAGGTCAAAGCAGCTCAGCATCAGAAGAGTGAAATGAGTTTACATAAAACCTTCTGCTTTCCCCCCCACCTCCCAGACCACACCACTGACTTTGCTTTGGGAAGGCAGAAAGCACTCTGGAGATCAAGATCAAAATAATCAGCACTGAAAGAACTTTCATGCCACACAGCAATTTCTGCACTCATCCTACAGCTTCAAGACATATCCCCTCCACACCCCTGGTTTCGGTTGGCCACCAGTTCACAATACACGTTTTACATTTCCAGCACTAGCATTGTTTATAGTTCTACTGAAACCAGGGAGATCAAAGTCTTCCTCCCTCACCAAGCAAGATACCTCTCCTCCACATCAAAGCAGTGTGCAAACACATTGTGCCACTATCATTCAGTTTGCACTGGGGCTGTGCAGCATGAAAGGCACAACCAAGAGGGATGCTGCTGCTGCCAAGGACTGCATCCACCAGCTGCCATCCACCAAAAAGAAGCTGTTTGATTGGTGCTACGATGTCCTAAGTGGGCCATCATTGGGGTCTGCGTAACGTTCGTGCTCCCAGGAACAGCCCAGGCTTTGAAGCTGTGGAAGAACACCATTGATGTTGAGTCATGTCTGACTACCCGGCGGCCCAAGAGCTACTACCGCGATGTAGTTTCTAAGTCAGAACGGAGAACAGAGCAGCCATCATGTGCCGCAGTTCACATCTGTGCTCCAGAGACCTCCAGCTGGCTGGGTTGGTTCATACAGGACCGACATTTGCCTTGGCCACAGACCTTCGCGTGCCTCAGTTTATCAGATGAAATATGACAACCACCATCCTTACCATTATCCCTGCCAGGATCCCCCATGATGGCAGTGGGTGTTCAGGGACCAGGGCAGCCCCTGAACTTGTGCTCAATGAGCAAGCAGAGCACATGTTCTTGCCATCCTCCTATGCACAGAAGGCACTTCACTGGGGGGGAAAGAAATTTTTAAAAATTACACATTCCCACAGCAATAGGGTCCCCCACCTGCACAGCAAACTGCACAGATGAGCTAGAGCAGACCTGCAGAGCATCACCAAACTCACTCCATCCTCACACGTCCTGACAGTGGTGTTCTGAGCTGCCTTCTCCACTTTCCTCCCTCGCACAAGATGCTTCTTGATGTTTTCGTGTTTAGCCGAATTTCCTCCCCCCTCCCTGAGCACTTCTGGTTGCCAAGGCAGCTCAGAGACAGCAACTAAGTGGCACCTACATCTGGTACAGCTTAACTTCTAGTGTCTGTTCTTTCTAGAATTTGAGAACTTCAATACCCAATGTTTGTACAAGTGTGGAATAAATGGAGCACAGACTCCCTGGCCTTCTGTGCTTGCCAACACTGTATTTTAAAATGCACTTAGAAGATCCTACTGTTTATTCATCTGCAGCTTTAGCAACTAAAGGACACCAAAACCAACTGCAGTTCTGCTGAACGGGTGCATTTGCATTAAACCCAACAGGTGAGAAGGCCAGGCACTCACAACAGTCACCACACGCATCCTCTCCTCCTGTTTCCCAGATGCCTCGGCCAACCCAGTGCCCCTGGGTCCCTCAGCCACACTGCCCAGCACCCCATTCTGGTCCTCCATCTCCTCGCACAGGCCTCCACAAGAGAGGGGATGGGCTATGTTTAGCACTGAATAGCAAAGTACCACTCCTGAGGGGCCATCAGGCAGACCGTACGAACAACAAGCAGACAGCTTACCCTGGCCTGATGGCCAAGGCTGGACACAAGCAGCCAATCTTTCAGCCCTTGGTGTCTGAGCCAGCACTACCACTGTGGCCAGGAGAGGGACGTACAAGCTGCAGCTCAGACAGCAGAAGACCTCTACTCTTAACAGACCCACGTGTATTTTCTTGAATACACACCCACCCCTTCTTCCACATACCCACTTGAAAAAATCACCGCACATGTAAGTGTGAAGAGGCTTTTGCAGGTCATAGATCCAGCTCCTTGTTGGTGCACACACTACATTTCACATCTTTCATAAACAACCAAGCTCTGGACTGAGTACAAGCAGGCCTTTTACACCCTCCTCCGTGCAGCAGACGCCTTGTCTTACCTTGTCAAAGAACTCATACAGCCTGACTGTCTCACAGATCCGATGCCTGTTTTCATCCAGCTGAGTGCAGAACTCTTCCAGTTGGTCTCTGTAGGTCTGCAGCTTCACCCTGTAAGAATCCACATCCACAGAGGAAAAGTCTTCCCACCGATCCATCTTCTTTAGTGCTTCCTGCCCCCTCCTGCAATATTCCTGAAAGCAAAATGCGATTGCGTATGAGGATAGAGACTGGACGTGGACAGTAGATAGTCTTCAAGGTCATTAAGAGCTAGGACTAATTAGACTATTTTTCAAGGTTCAAATCACATGAGCAGGGGTGTACTTGTTTACAGCAGAATTCTGGAGAGTCCTGACCTCTGTTATGATTTACATGAGGCACACAGCAGCTTGTAAAGGCCTACACAGTAAGGCCACAGGTCAGTTAGGATCAAAAAAGACAGTGTTACAGGCACATCAAGGGATTAATAAAAAAAAAAAATCCATCTTCCATCACAGTAGTTGTTTTCCTTAAGACTGGCAACTACCACCTACTGAGGGGTTGAGCCATGGCTTTGTCTACAAGGAGAGCAGGGAAGCCAAGTAGTGCAAAGGAATGACACACGTTGGTGATGAACCCTCTACCAGTGATGTCTCGGCATCGTGGCTTTGGCTGAGCACATACAAGGCACATATGCTGCCAGCTCATTCTCTGGAGAACATGTTTTTCCAACCAGACAACACTTACACTGGCAATAAGATCAAACTCCCTGAACTGCTTTTGCGCTTGAAGCAGCATCTCCAAAGAATCGTCCAGGTTGATTGTTTCCTTCAGCCGTTTTCTGCCAACATTCTCAATCCAACTGCTGACCTAGGAGAAAATGGAAAAACTCCGCCATTAGTCAGTCTGTGCTACTCACCAAGGTAGGCCTTTGTGTGGAAAGAGCAAGGAACTGCTCTTATAACACTGGTCATTTCATCACCGGAAAGAATGCGTACGCACACTTCTCCCCCTAGTCCTGGCATTTCAGCCTGAGCCTCCTGCTGGGAGTTTTTCCACTTCAGGTTACTGAGTAATTGCAAAGCTCTGCTATTGCTCACTAGCCTTAGGCATAAACAGGGCAAGTAGCTGCCTGGGCTCTGTTTCGGGTGAGCCATGGTCTAACACAAGCCCTGCAACCTGCAGGCTGGCCTGATATTCCTATTATTGTTACCCCCAAGTGGGATAAAAATCTCCCTGCTGCCAGATTTCCTACACCACTTCCCTTTTCTGACAGGCAGGACACGAACAGCGTCCGTGTGAACATACTGACAGATTCTCCCCATCTGCAATGTTTCACTGTTCCCTGGGCCTCTCAGCTACTGGTTTGCTGAAAGCAGCTCACCACGAAGTCGTGCAGTAACTGCAGGTTCCTTAACAGAGCCCAGCGGCTGTTGCAGTTATAAGCCTGTATCCTCAAACATGGGTAGAGGACTGACTAACAAGAGTGTCCTAAAAGCAAAGCAGACACAGGAGGCCAGGGAGGATAACACAGCATCTCCATTGACAGTGGGTTTTAAAAACAGGCTACTAAACTTGTTTGCAATGCTTCAGGCTTAGCTGCACCTGGGGGAAGGGAAAGATTAAATATTTCCTGATGCCCACGCATCCCATTTTCCTCTATCATCTAAATCCATGTCCCAGCTCAAACCCACAGTCAAAGACAAACTCCTAGTCTTCTGGACAGAGAGAGTCCGTGCCCGTGGAAAAAGTCCACTAGCAAGAGGAGGAGATGGGGGTGGGTTCCCGGGCTGTGACCCGTACTGCAAAGGAGCACACCACTGCTACCTACAACACCTAGGCAGGCTTAAAAGCAGGAGCAGCTGCTGCCAGCAATGCTGCCATGACTGGTGATCTGCAAGCAAAGTAAGCTGTGAGGAGTCAGTTTTGCTCAATTCAATCAAAAAGTTCAGCTTAAAGCAGGGACAGGTTGCAGAGCCTGCCTGTGTGCCTTTTTTCATTTCTGTATAGTATTAAGAACCTGTGCATTTAAGAGAGCCTGCACTAGGTTCTTGCATCACACTTGCCCTGAACACATAGTGCATGTCGCCTGAGTGTCTGCCTCCAGAAGTCATTAAAACTCTTGGATCCACCTCGGCCTGTGAAAACAACCGGTGAGCTACAGCCTCCCCTGGAAATTAGTTCTCTCCAGAGGTGAAGAACCCAGAATCCTAGCAGAGCAATGGTGAAACTGGTCCTAGTACTGATCTTTCAGGCTGCAGGTTCCTAAGGTGAGCTCTGAACAGCACACAACCCTTCACACACACAGGGTAATAAGTAATACAAAAAACTTTTCATTGTTGATGAGTTACAGCATTATGACTATGCACATATTATGCACCTCCGGAATCTCAAGGTAAAGTTCAGGCTTAAGGACTGAAAGAACCGATCAAATCTTGTAGGACACTCAAGACAGCCTGAGCTATTTTTGACTTTTTAAGGTGCTCTATCTACGTGGCTACAGGTTTCAAAGGTCTTTCTGAAAACCAGTGCCTGTTTGCTTCAGTTATCCCATGGCTGTAGAGAGTTTCAATGAATGCCACATGAAGGGGAATTTTAAGCTTCCACAGAAGTGCAGAGGGGTGGGGGGGTTGAGCAGAAATAAGCACACCCTGAAGGATCCACAGCCCAGAAGGGACACGTGGACTCATCATCACCTTGTTGCCATCACTCCGCTGCTTCTCAAGGCAGAGCATGAAGAATGGCTCCCTCAGTCTTGCTGGGAGGGTACTTCTGCTAACCAGCGTGAAAAAGACACCCCACCTCCAAATGTACTGCAAACCAACGAGCCACTACACTGCAGTCTTTAAGTGTGGATAAAGATCACAGATGTTTGTGTGGTTTGACTGATCCACACCTACACAGCAGCCAGGAGACTTCTACTTGAGATAACAGGCAAACAGTGACTTGGTTCTCAGCACATCTGAAAACGTATCCCAAATTCTAATGTTCAGCTGTTGATGTTCTTTTAAAGGGTCTACAGGCATCATTCTACACCCTCACAGGAGAGCTCAACAGGCCCAGTACCTGCTGTGCGATGTACAGTCAGAAGGTGGCAGCAGGCAGTCACTGGAACTGATGAACAGGCCTTACCTCCTTAAAACATTCTTCCACTTTCTCGAACTCCATCACCAGCTCCAGTTCCTGGATGCGTTTGTTCGACAGCATCACCAGTCGGTGAACGCCCTCATCAACTCGATTATAGAGCACACTGGCAGCATCAAGTGCGTCTCTGCAAGGGGACACAAGTCTGGTCAGGGCTTTTGCATTAGGTCCTTCCCCCAGCACTTCACGCAAACATGACCTGGCTAACAGCAGCACAAAACTTGGTGTGCTTGTCACACTTTCAGATAGGATACTTTGCTTTTCATAAACACAGATTATTGCATCAACAGGCTTTCACAAAATACAGGCTTAGGCAGTCTCAGTGTCTAAAACCACCATTTGAATTTACTGCAGATAAACAAATAAGCAATCACTAGCAAGAAAATATCTCCTAAATGACAACAACGGTATAAAGCACTTGATGCCCCACTCACTCTCAGGAATTTCCACCAGCCAAACAAATACGCAAAGCGTACAGCACCCCAAGGCCAAGAGAAATTTAATTTTACAATGCTGTGCTGGAAAGATTCAAAGGCTGAGCTCCCCACCTTCCACAAGCAGCCGTGCTGACCAAAGCCCAGCAACAACAGGCAGCACTCTCCCGGCCAGCCTGGCCACAGCAGAAATTATGGATGGAAAGGTTCAAGCTGGAGCCCAGTGCCCCTGGATGGTGAAGCCAGGGAATGGGCACAGGTTTGACCAAATTTGAGCCAGAATCCAGAACAGCATTCATGCTTATTCTTTCTTTGTGTCCCTGAGCTTCTCATTTCTTCTGCTTCTAGATTTCCCCTCAGTATGGACTCAGACACCTTCAACAAAAATACTATGGCCTTCTTCAGCTGTGCTCTATACCAGCATGTTCAGCTGCCTGAGCACCTCCTGCACTCACCCTAAACCAGCTTTCATTTTGCAATTGTCTTACAACCTTCCGGCTTATAAGAGCACGGCTTTTTTATCGCATTACTGAAATTATCCAAAGCACTTGTGAAATAGGTAGCTAACAAAACTGACAGCTTTGCTAATGTAAATAATTGCTAATGCAAGCAATTCAGCATACACATTTATTTCTGTCTTAGGTGACAGGCAATCTTGAATCTACAAAATGCAACTGAATACGAGCATTTAGTGGCAACCATCCTGTAGTTTTTAGATAGTACTTAATTGACGTGAGGTAGTGCAATAGGTCTGGACAACTAGCTCTGCATAGTAGAAATCCACAGGATTTTTCCATTCAGAATTCCACCCAGTGTGCAACAGCCAACTTCTCAAACCTCAGGCTCTTAGATACTTTTGTTTTTCCTCTTCAAAATGCCATTAGTCTGAATTAATTTCTCCAAAGTGCAGCCAAAAATACCCGACTTGTTTCTGGACTAAGATCAGTGCTACTGCAGTGCAGAGAAGACAGGTTCTCTGCAGAGAATCGACAAGCTTCAATGGAAAGATCCGAGCTGTAACACTGCTCCCGCGTTTCCCGAAACCACTATAAACAAACAGTGATGATATGCGCCTTCTGTTTTGTAATCCTTTCCTGGGGAACCAACCCAGCAGACTTGCAGCAGCAGAGCCATAACCACTGTCCAAGCTGAGCTCTGGAAAGTGTTTTTACAGAGCAGGTTGTGAAGGCCAGTTCCCGTCAGCAGCAGTGACACAGCTAGGACAGCTAATGAGAAACAGCTCAGAAGATCGCTGGAAGTTATATTTGGCAACAACATTAACACTGTTGGGTTTTGCGCAGCAGAGCGTATCTGTCAGGCTTCGTTTCTGAATAAGGCTCTGGCATACTGATGGCCAGACAGGCAGACACCCTTTGGTCTTCCTCCCATGGGTCTGCAGTCCCTGATGGCACGAATACTCTCGTCCACGCAGGATAGCACACCGACACAGCAAATGCACTGCCTGCCACCAGCAGAGAAGCAAGCACCTACAACTTTAGACATTACAGGGCGTTATATGCAAACATTTGCAATTATCTACTCGAGAGGCAAAATATTTTTCCAACCTTTTTCTGAGCTTCCATGGAAATCACTTAAGTGTTGATGCTACTTCCACCATGGCACTCAACAAGCTAGACTGACCTGCTAGGCCTTTCTGTAATGGGAGTTCTCATGTTCACCCAAGCCCACGATAAAGAAAGCATGCGTGGTTTCAACGCTTAACGTGATATTGCAAGATGGTAACCTCATGGCATAGCAACTTGAAACAAGAGTTCCAGCTCTTGCCTTGGCTGACCTAGCACAGTGTGATCTGACACAGGGGAAGGGAGCCAGGGAGTCCCACTCCACTCCTCTCCATACCTGGTGGAAGAAACTGGACTCCAGTTGTCTCAAATTTGAACAATTTTCCTTGATGGGAGTCAGTCATAACCTGAGCTGCAAAGCTCTAAATACTACAGACTCCCATGTAGAAGACAGCATGCTTCCCAAAGTCACAAAACACAGGCTCTCCTGCTGACAATGCTGCAACTATGTGAAAAATCACCCCAAGGAGGAGGGATAGGAAGCAATGTTTTAAATTTTTTTGGGGGGGGGGGGTTTTGTCTGTTTTTTTGTTTTTGGTTTTGTTTTTTTTGTTGTTGTTGTTTTTTTTTTTTTTGTAGACAGAAGTAGGCTTATCACAAGCTCACTGTGCAAAGAAGTGAATTCACTGTGCCAGTGTGGACAAGACCTGTCTCTTAGAGCACACTTGATACCGGTATTTGCCTTATGAGCAGCAAACCACTCCAGGGAAAGTAAGGTTCAAAAATGCAGTAGTAAAATACTCCTGGTAACCCACCCACTGAGACCCAAGGAGCCAAATTCAGGACAAGAGAAGGGGTTCAGGTGAGCTGCTTGCTGATGAGCTGAAAGACAAAAATATCCGTGCCAAACAGCACTCTTCTGGCTCCATGCATGTTCCCTCCATGGAAGAAGTTGTCCCAAATTACTGGCAATGCTAGAACATAAAGAACCAGACCCTGAAGAGCCCTTTAAGGCCAATCCTTCCCTACATTTGCAGAAAGTCACAGGGAAGAAGTAAGCTAGAGACTCCAGTTTAGGAATGAACGCTCAAGTCCTCTGTGCCACTGGTTGCAATCCATGTCCCAGCAAATAACGTGACAGCTACTCACATCCATAGATTTACAGATACTCTGTCATCTTCCCTCTGTCTCAGCTGATCCAATGGTACTAAACATGACATCCTGCTACTGAACACATGGAAAACCTTTGCCTTACTGGTCCACAGGCATCTCAAACTTACCTCGAGTCAGTCCAGGACGCATTTGGGAGTTTATACTACAAGCAGGGACTGGACAGAGAATTCTTTCCAGGTTAAGAGGGCTAGAAATTAGCTGTTCTTTATAGTGGGGCTGTTTAGGGTATGCGAAATTATCTTAATTGCTGACTCTTCCCACTTAGGCCATTCTGTTTTCTGTGCATGCTTACCACAGGCTAGTAACACACTTATCAGGGCACAACCCAATACCCAAGGCTGCCCCTTCTCTTGGTCCTGCCAATAGTTTGCAGAATGACCGCACGCAAGCCATCCAGAAAAGAAATGTTTCCAAATGGCTCCTTTAGGCTCAGAGCCCCAGCAGGACTTCAGGTGTGGCCTTACACCATCCCTCCTCCTCTCCTGAGCCACTCCCACACCCCAGCCCCTCAGCCCTTTGTTTCAAGGTCCAGCCACGCTGTTTTCACATGTTCTGGCTCGCTTGGCAGGCATTCTTTAATATCTCAACATCTAGCTGTTGCTCTTCTGTTGCATCTCCAAGGTAACTCCATTCATATGTTGTCAGCTCTTGACAGGTCACTTTTACCAGCCCGACAGGCTCTCTGACTAACATCCATCTTTTACTCCCTCACACAGAAAAATATATAACCCCTTCCACCCTGTAGTATAAAGTAAGGAGACAAACTGAGTCAAACAAAGAAATCACTCACAGTCCATGGGAAAGTTTGGTTTTTCAGTTCATTTGGGCACTTCCAGTGCGCACAGAAAGAACCCATTGAGCATTAAGTGCATTCTCCCAAACCTCTGTATATCTGTTTACCTATCTACACACGCCCATCCATTTGCTGATCCACATCTTAAAAACTTCTTCCTAAATTATTTCTAGTATACCAGTAAACTCAAGGACATCCTGCAACAGGGAGTTTCACGAGAAAATGATACCCTGGATAAACAACAACTGCTTTTTCAGAGTCAGGCTTGAGAGTTTTTCATTCCTGTCCTTCATTGCTTTCAAGGCAGCTTGGGTAAACAAACCAAATATTGAAAATTTGGTTGAGGAAGAAAAAAGCAACTTCCATCCTGCCATACAAAAGGAAACACCTGGCTGTTAAGCACCTTGAAGATATTTTTAATAGCAGCCTGAGCAACCCTGAGGAAGAAAAAGCAGAGAGTTGTTTGAAGTCAGTGGAAAGTCTCATCTAAGCTTAGATTTGTTTGGATGTATTGCAATTTCCCCACACGAGTGTGGTAATAAGAGTCTTTCACTACATTCTTCCATGGTCAAATCACCCAAAGTAATTTTGCAATAGTGCAGAGTCAATATAATTTATAGCAAAAAAGGAGTAGCCTGATGTCAGTTTATGTTTCCCCAAATCCTGTTTTCATTGGGCAATTATCATTTCAGTGCAAAAGGTTCCAAAGTCTTCAGCGCTCTGGAGAAGTGCCAAGCTGTTGTATAATGGTAGGGTAATTTTAAACCTATAATTTAGAAAGACCATTCTGTCTGAAGCCATCCTTCAAAAAAGTTAGCCTTGGAGAGTCACACTTTAGTTTTCAACACAAAATACCCGATTTGTTTTCAAAATTAGATGGCCACAGAAGTCATCTAGCAGGCTTGGAAAAGCAGGTGCTGCATGAGCCATGTCTGCCAACGCCAGTGAGACACACAGAAGAGCGAAGGGAGGGAAGCAGCAGAACCATTACTATTCTGCAACTTATTGCTTGCCTCTTGAAAAACTGCTCTAGCCTACAGCAAGAGCAACAGCTAAAGCGAAGGCTACAAATCAGAGCTTATCCTCTAACCTGGGTCCATGTTAAAAAAGCAAAAATTCATGGACAGAAGGAACACAAGACACACTGCCTTTTGCTAGTGTATTTGATGGTTTTTAGGCAAGTATATTCCAACTAACTCGCCCT